ACCTTCCCCCAAATTTCTTCACTACTACGCCTTTCAAGCGCAATCTCTGCACACCATATAACCCTTCCCTTATCATTGCTAGAACGATCATGCTTGTGCCATAAAACCGCCATCTTTCCACCATAATCCGCCAATTGAACATCACAAGATCTAGTCAACTTAGGCAGTTGTCCTTCCATACCCTTCAAGATTCTACATTCACTTTTAAAAGCGTCATACCATTCGAACTGTCCGTCTTTATACCACCAATACACATTATCTATCATGCAACCACAAAACGATGTCCCATGGTGACGAATCCATAGATTTCGTCCTCGATATTCACGTAAATATTCCTCTGGCGGGGCTAAAGCAAAAGGAGGTCGGTTCTCAGGCTTCCAAGTTTGGGTTTCTGGATCGAAAATATCTTTATAGTTGGAGCCTTCCACAACACATAACTTTCCATCAATAGCATAGGCTGCGGGATTTTCCATGGCCATCGACATGTTTGGAGCTTGGTTTCTTGAAAGAGAATGACAATCCAAGACCGAGACGTTAGAGGAAGGTACGTCGTTGATGAGTCCACCAATTTCATAGATATCAGAACCAACAGCGACAAAACTCGCCGCTTGCGTAGGAGGAGAAGATTGGGGAAATAGGACTGGAACCAAAATATTACCACTTGTCTTCTTCTTTTTCTTTCTTGACTGATTTGGCTTCCGACAGAGAGTGAACCAGCGAGGGTTATCATCAGATGGGAGCTTTAAGCAGACATAGAGACAACTCTCAGTACGGTTAAGGAGTGATCGAGTCTTGTAAAGTTCTGGTGAAGTAATGAGAGATCGTAAGCTTTTAGAGACGAGGGAGAGAGTTGGGTAGTACAATCTTGAGACGCGGGCGAAGCAGCTCAATAGCAAATCATCGGGAAGGGGAAGTGGAGGATTTGGGGTTGATTGCAATGTCAGCGAGGGCTTAAGTAACGGCTTCTTTGTGGCCGTCTTCCTCTTCTTCTCCGGGAACGACATTGACGGAATATATAAGACAAAGCTCACCCACTTGCAAAGAACAAATTTAAAAATTAGTGAAACTCTTTCGGTAAAAATATAGCTTGGTTCCTATATATTTAATTTTCTCATGTTAATGGGAATAGTTTAGCTATTTCAAGTATAAAATAAAATAGTAGATATCATATACAATTTTTTTTAATGTTAGATATATTGCTCGACGAAAATATTTTATACAAAATTTTCTTATAAAAAAAAATCAACAATAAATCAAGGACATCATAAATCAAGCTAAATCGATTTTTTTGCTTCAAACCAACGATGAAATAAAATTGACAAAAAAATGAGCTTGCAAGATCATCCACATTCCACAATAAGGGACATGCAAAATATCATGGATCCAAGATCCGATCCGATTTCAAAAATAGGTTTCTAGAGTTTACGGATCCAATTCGGATATTTAGATATTTAGTATGAATGATAATTGTTATCATTATTTTTTTTTGATCTATTTATTTGTGGATCTAGATAATCGCAAATATTGGTGATCCGGATCTGGATACTTGTTTCTCAGATCTGGATACTTGTTTCTCAGATCCAGATCTGGGTATCCCAAAATTTCAAGGAAACTAATCTATGCTCATCTCTATCCACAATCCAATAAACAAAAACAAACATCTTGAAAATTGAAAGAGTTTGATGATATGAGAGTATTACCTTTTTCGAGTATAGCACGGAATACCTCGTCTCGAGATTAGTGGAGACTTTTCTCGAACGCCGTCGTCATGTCCTTTGGTTGCTGGAGGGCAAAAAAGAAATCGGAGGCGGAACAAATAGATTTAATTAAGGTTATGTTTTAGAATTGGGAGAGATGTATATTTATATAAGAGGAGCAATAGTTTTTAATTTTTAGGGTTTTCAGAAGATTTATTTCCTAAATGTAACACGTTTTTCAAAAAAAATATTTAGCATTGACTAAAAATTTTAGTAAAGACCTTGGTTTAATAAAACTTGGAAAAATAAATAATAGTGTAGTGACCGATCTAATTTTAAACAAATCTTATAGAAAAACTTGAAAAAATCTCCCAAATTATGTTTAAAGTAAAATATTTCAAATAAAGTTCATCAAAAATATTGGAAAAATATGTTAAAGTCTATATAAATTTCTACAATAAAAATTAATATACTATTACATAACTTTGAAGGGTTTTTCGACAAGTCGGTAAAGACATTTTCTTTGTTAATGAAATTGGTGTAGATATCCCTATAAAAAAAACTTTTTGTTTGTTTAATATAATTTTATAAAACATATAATAAAAAGATACCATATCATCACATAATAAGATAAAGAGAAGAAGAAGCAAGACACCATCTATATAAACATTTTTGAAGTACAAATATGAAATAAATCATGGAGTTTAAACTTATTTACAAGAAAATGCCATTATCATAAATGTTTATCTATTAATTAATAATACACATTTTTGAAGTACAAATATGAAATAAATCCTCGAGTTTAAACATATTTACAAGAACATGTCATTGTCATAAATGTTTATCTATTAATTAATATTACAAAATATTTTCGAAAAAATCTTTTAGAAACTGTGGATTCCAAATATGACAACAAATTGATTTTGTTTCTAAATTTTCCTAAAACATCTCTACCTAATTTAAACATTAATATATGATTTTTCTTTCACTTTTATATGATCTTATAGTAATTTATTTTGAATGTATATTAAATATATATAATTAATAAAATAATAGATTTTTCTACATATAATGTGATTCAAATTTTTAAAAACGGACATATATTACTCAATTGGTAAAGAAAAAATATGTGTACAATGTCCCATATTGCTTAAAAAATTGGACAATGGTTCAGAGTCATACTATAAAAAGGACCAAAATGATTCTGAATACAAACGAGGTTATATGGTGGGATGGGTTTGGGTCGATATTAATACGGGACGGTATACCACGGGTGAAACCTAGAATTAAAAATAAAAATATAATTATATAATTTTAAATACTAAAAAAACCAAACAATATTAACAAAATAAATATACTTAAAATTTAAAATTTTTAGTTTAAAAAAATCGATCCACAATATACCGCTGGTAAATGTTTTTGATACAAAATAATATCAAATTATTATAATAGTCCATGATTATAAATGCTTGCCAATATTAACACTATATCATTTCTACACCTACAAATCTTCTAAGTACACATATTTCAATTATATTAATTATAATATAAAATAACTAAATGAGAATTTTTTTTATAATATCAATTTAAAAATCCAATAAATTAGAAATTATTTTATATAATACATTAAATACAATTTTGCCCCGCGGTACACTGTGGGTTAAATCCTAGTACCAATATATTTTTGCAACATATTCATTAAGAAAGCAAGTTTCTATGCAATTTTTTCACCTAATTACTAAGAAACTACTTATTCCTCAAGTCTTCACGAAGAATAACAAAACCCCTTTTTTGTTATTAAACCATCAAGATAGGTCCTACTTGTTTGTTTAATAGATAACAGATCATCCAATGCAAATCTCTTGATTGGCCATTGGAGCTCCACCAAAATTTAGCCACAACACTTGTAAGTTAATGTGATTGTTTTTGGCAGCCGAAAGCATGACATAACATAAGTTGGTAATGCAACAGCCATCGATTTAATCAACACCTCTTTACTGCCTCTCGATAAATTTTTTGCTAACTAGCCGTTAATCCTATTTTGTAATTTGTCCCTTACGAATTTTTTTTTTCCGTTTTGGATCCCCCTAAGCTTTCAGGTAAGCCTAGGTAAGACCCCATGCCGCCATTATTTGTAATACCCAATGTCGCCTTAAGCTCTACCTTTATAGATTCATCAACTTTATGTCCAAATTGAACCGATGGTTTAGAAAAATTTATTTGTTGCCCTGAAACGTCTTCATATTGCTTTAAGAGACCTAAAATAACTCCGCATTGTTCCTTGTTTGCTTTACAGAAAAGTAAACTATCATCCGCAAATAACAAATGGGATACCGCATGACTTGCTTTTGCCACTTTTATGCCAATAATCAACTTATCCTGTTCCGTTTTTCTGATGTTTGCCATTATCACTTTCGTGAAAAGAATAAATAAATATGGAAAACGTGGATCACCCACTCATAAATCTCTTTATGATATTATTAGACTTTTAGGTTGTCCATTTGTAAGCACCTTGCATGCAGTGAAGTTATGCACCACATCATCCAAGAGATCTATTTCTCACAGAATCCCAATTTCTTTAGTAAATGTCTGATAAAATCCCATTCGACCCAATCGTAAGCTTTACTCATATCTGTTTTTATCGCCATGAATTTTCCTTTATAAGCCGAATTTGTACGTAAACCATGAAACACCTCTTGCGCTATAAGTATATTATCCGAAAGTAGTCTACCTTCAACAAAAGCACACTATGTTTCTGAAATAAGAGATGGTAGAACCGTTTTAAGTCATTAATAAAAATTTTTAAAATAATTTTGTACCCACTATTGCAAAGACTGATGGATCTCAATTCTATAATCCGTGTAGATCGTCCATTTTTGGAATTAGACATATAATTATCGTATTTAATCGTTTATCAAAAACCTCATGCTGTAAAAACGAGTTGACCAAATCAGTCAAATCTGTTTTAATAGTATTCCATGCCTTTTGAAATAAGAATTACTCAAAAGAAAATAGTTAACTTTTTACTAGTAGGTGACAAAAATATCCACTTAAATATGTTTTTTTTGTCTCTGGCCTCGAGAGACTTGTACAAAAGGCCCACAAAAAAGGACAATGACTAAGGCCCAGGCCCAATAATCAGAAGCAAGTGAGCGAGCGAGAGTCGCATAGTTGCATCAAAGGAAGCGAAAAAAAAAAAAAACGAACACGACAACAAACAAAAATTTCCTCTGAGAGGGAAACAAAAATTAAAAGGAAATTGCAATTTTTTCGAGATTGAAATTTACAAAATTCCAATTCACGAAGAGCTTTCTCGAAGAAATTTCTCCTTTCTCTTCTTCGATTCGACGAATTTCTTGTGGAAGAAGAAGCCCTAATTTTGATTTGTGATTGCCCAAAGTTTTTCTTTTTTTTTTGTGCCCTAATTCCTGCGTTTGCGTTTTCGTACATCCAAACAAAATTCAGGTACTCTTTTGCTCATTTCTTCCTCCAAAACCCTAACGTTTTAGCTCCTTTCGATTTGGGTTTTCTTAAGCTTGAGTCTTTGGGGTTCTACTTTGGGTTCTTCTCTTAACTCTCTCAAATTCGTTAAAAATGTGCTCATTTGATATCTCAGCTGATTAAATTTCAAGTTTTGGTTCCTATTTCTGTTTACTAGTGAGCTTCTGGCTTCAAATTTAATGCTGTTTCTATTTCTAGCTCTTGATGTGTTAATGTAACTTTATAATCTCTACTTATATGGTGTTGTTATGACTTTTTGTGTGAGATAATGAAACATTTTCTTGGCTTTGTGATGATTTCTGTTTATAGTTAGAGTTTGAGTATAATGGGACAGCGAAAGTGGTGAATCATGGAAGTGTTTCAGGATATCTTTTTTAGTAAATGCCTAGTTTGATTCTATGGGAGGAGTTATTGATAGTGGAGGTGGGGTTGGTCTCAAATCATCTCCGCGCCGAGTAGCGATTGAGAAGGCTCAAGCGGAACTAAGGTATATCGCGGATTGCTACTTGTTTAATGTTTTATGTTTGTTTTCAGCTGCTAATTGTTTCTGTTAGAGTAACGGAAATTACTTGTTTCTACAGGCAGGAGTATGATGTCCGTGAGGAAAGGAGGAGAGAATTGGAGTTTCTGGAGAAAGTATGGAAATTATTTACTGTTTCCTTTTAGAGACTTATTATATAACAAGTCCTTACTATTCTCTCTACTTTAGGGTGGGAATCCTTTGGATTTCAAGTTTGGTAATGCAACTTCACATAGCGTTCAATCTACATCACTCACAGATAAGCAAGCAGATCATTTTGTAAAGAGGTATTTTTCTTGTTTGTTGTAATTTTTCCTGTTAGAATTTTTATGATATTCATAGATCAACTTATGATTCTTTCCCGTTTTCACCACAGTGAAGTCAAGGATAGTTTTCCCCGGACTGCCTCACAACATGGGGATTCTGTGGAGAGTAGTGGTAGACCTGGAGTTTCAATAGTTTCTGAACCCAATACAGCTGATAATCTTTTACTGTTTGATGCTGAAACTAAGTCACTTGAAGGAGAAAGAGATTCGAAATATCCTAATAAGAGAAGTAGAACTTCAGAATCGGAACGGTCTGTCAAAGCGAATAATTTCCAGAATACTAAGGACACAGAAGATTCTGCCATTTTTCGCCCATATGCTCGTAGAAACAGATCAAAGATAAATCGTGATCCTGCTCGGTCAAGTTCTACAGAGTTAGTTCAGAGTCGTGGTGGTCTTGCCACATCACTCTCAATTCGAAGAGAATCTGTGGATGTAAAGGGTTCCGATTCTGAAGCAGGCAATCATAAGAATAGACATGCATCTTCAGTATCTTGTCCAAACTCTGCAACTTCCAATGGTGATATCGTTTCAAAAAACTTACTCCCAACCAATTTGTTAAAGACAGAGGATGATGGACTGGTTGTACGAGAAAGCACTGCAAGAACAAAAAACAGTCCAGTGAAAGAGAAAGTCGATATTGTGTATAGAAAAAGTTCTGCAGATGTGGCTTCCAGAGGGACTGGTCTTACTGGGGTGAGAGCACATACTGCCTCTGCTAGTACAGTAGCCGATTCTCTCAGTGCTGAAATGACAGGTAGCCAGGAAACTAACTCCACCCAAGTGAATGGCCTTCGGGATCCCCGAGGAGAGAAAGAAATCTTAAAAAATACTGCAACTGTAGGGAGGAAAGGGTTAGATCAAGAGTCCTCTCATGCTAACAACGTTGAAGTAGATGTAGATACTAAAATAGATCTCCATAGAGTGGACAAATCTGACACCAACAGAATCCCTATTGAGATTGCTTCAAGAGTAGAGGGGATACTGAATCCAACAGTTGGTGAAATGGTGAATACAAAGACTGGAGACGAGGCTGGTGACTCTACCATCATTATTAGTGAGCAAAATTCTGGGCATCAAAGCCAAACACAATCACTTAAAGTCGAAAGTCAAGATCATAGAAGTGCAGTTGATCTGCATAATGAAAAGAAGTGCTCTGAAACTGAGAGGAAACAACAAGATGACTTAGATATATTGCAAACTGACATGAAAGTTACTAGTGGATTGGCTGACACTTCCAACAGTTCTTTGTGCCCTAAAAAATCACAGACAGCTGCAGAAACCAGTACTTCCATAAGTAGCCAAAACTTATTGTCAGGACCTGGCATTACAGTATTACAGCAGCATAGTTTAGACGGTGGCTCAAGAATGCTAGATACTTTGAAGGAGGACTCTATCCTTGAGGAAGCACGGAGTATAAAGGTTCTCTTTCAAAACTTGGCTTGTCGATCTTAACCTGTCAAGCTTTGGAAGAAGGTTTAATTACTTCTTTGTTCATAGCCTTTTATGTCTGACATACTACACTAACAGGCAAAGAGAAAGAGCATTGCCGAGTTATCTTTTGGTACCATACCAGTGGAAGTTCGTACGAGATCTCAATGGGACTTTGTCCTTGAAGAAATGACATGGCTGGCAAATGATTTTGCACAGGTCTGGTTTAGTTGATCAGCTTTCTGATCTCATTTTATCTATTTAAATGGAAAATTATTCATTTGATGGATTGTCACACTGGTTATTACTAAGAGCGTATGGTGATTCCTCTATGAATGTTGTTAGCCTTTTTGTTTCTGTTACTGGAAACTTTTTCTCCAAGTCAACCGATTGCATTTCTGTTTAACCTCTCTTTTACTTCTCTAATTCTAGGAGCGTCTTTGGAAGATGACTGCTGCCATGCAGATTTGTCATCGAGCTGCTTTTACCTCTCAGTTGAAATTTGAGGAGCAAATTCAGCACAGAAAGCTTAAGGGCTTAGCTTCAAGCTTAGCTAATTCTGTCTTACAGTTCTGGAGTTCCGTGGATGTTCCTAGGGAGCTTGAAAAGACAAGCGTGGGAACTGATAAGGTATACGCCTGCCATACATATCTATCTCTTATGGTTTTTTAATGGTAATGATGGTCATATTTTGGCCTTTCTTTTCATTGGGCCTGTGCACACACACACATATACATACTTATACAGTAGTGATACCATATCTTGAAGTTTGGGACAGTACAATAAGCTTGACTCATTATTTTATGTCTATTTTCCTCCATGAATGTGACGCTGAATCACTCTGACTTTCTTGGAATAGTCTTCCTTTCAAGTCTAAGAGCTTTCTCTGGTTTTGTTGATCTCTTGTTACACTTTTGATGATTCCTTTTTTGGTATCTAGCCAAGTAATACTGTTATCATATGCAGGAGACAAGGAAGGAGTTGAAGTATTATAATGGCAAAAAATGTCCAGCTTCTGGTGTCACTGAATATGCACGCAGATTTTTGAAGTTTGTCAAATCTTCTGCCACCCATATTCAAACAGCAGCACCGTCGACACCTGATAATATGTGTGACCCTGGCATATTGGAGAGATCTTGGGATGATCAGCTTACAGAAGTATGAAACTAGTCATATGGTCTTTCTGTAGCCTTTCATTACTAGTGTTGTGGATAACTCTATAACGTTGCAAACTAAGCTTTTTAATGTACAGGAAAACTTATTTTATTCAGTTCCATCTGGTGCAATGGAGGCCTACCGAAGGTCCATTGAATGTCATCTTCTCGGGTCTGAGGTATGTGAGAGTATTTAATGCTACGAGCTCTAATGTCATGACCTTAATTGGGTGTATTGCCTGTGAATATATATATATATATATATATATATATATAGATATATGTATATATATAAGCACACGCATACATATTTGAGTTCTTAAGATAATTAAAAGCATTTCCCGTCCCAGAAATCCGGAAGTAGCCTGCAGGAGGAGGTTGAGACATCAGCCTATGATCCCGCAGAAGGTATGCAGAACATATTTGGTTGAGCTCCACGTACTGGATAGATGTTTACTAAATTCATTTTTAACTGTAGATACAGAATACAATGGTTACGATGAGGATGAAGAAGAAACAAGTACTTATCATCTACCTGGAGCTCTTGAATTTAGCAAATCCTTTAAGTTAACCCACAAGAGAAAGAAGAATTCGATGAAGTATCATTCTGCTCGGTCATATGATGTTGGGGCTGATTTACCATACGGTAGCTACACTGGTGGTTCCACTGCATTGATGGGCAAAAGGCCTGCCAGTAATCTCAATGTTGGTTCAGTTCCTTCGAAGCGCATGCGCACTGCTTCCAGGCAGAGGGGTATGAGTTCTTTTGGCTGTGGCACTGTTGGAACTTTACCTGTGCCCTCAAAGACAGATGCCTCTAGTGGAGACACTAGTTCTTATCAGGATGAGCAAAGTAGTTTGAATGGTGGTTCTGCGGTTCAAAAAGGCACAGAGGTTGAATCTAGTGGTAATTTTGAGAAGCAGCTACCTTATGACATGGCTGAAACGTCAGGAAAACCAAAAAGGAAGAAGGTTCATCCGGTTTGCATTATGTTTTAACATTTATCTAGCTTGATGTTTATGGAAAATATTGTTATTACTTCTGGCATTGCATGTTAATATGCAATTATCATTTGTTGCAGGTTTCTACATATGAACAAGGTTGGCATCCTGATTCAATGGTCCACGGTGAACAGGTAATATTGCTGGTAAAAGATTTTGAAATTCAATGTCAACAAATTTTTTAAAGTAGCGTCACAGAAGTTTGTTTGGCGATGTTTGGTGTGTGACTCGCTTATTGAAATGACTAATGTTCTATATATTGGGTTGTTTGATACCTGTAAGAGTAAGCTGCTCTTGGGATTGAAATTCTTGTTTCCATTTTTCATCTCGGAATCGTGTTCACTGACAGTAATATTACTTGAAACGGGAAGTTTTATGCAAGTTTTATTTTATTGTGTAGGTAAATTGTATACGTTGAAGAGATATTAAACTTGGAAAGAATTCTAATGCTTCCTTATTTTGGCAGGATCACTGGAGGAAGCGACCAGAGAATCATTTCAATACAAATGGTATCATCCAAGTATCCACTTTTAACTTTGTTTGCATGACTGCATGAGTTAGGTCTTTAGAAGTCAGGTTCAACCGGGGGATACCTAAGATTCACATCTGTTTTATGAATCGGACTAAGTCTGTAACTAGAATATCATTACTTTAGGAGTAATCATTGTTGCATAATATTGTTTACAACAGAATAAAAAATACACAATGTTTACCATGACTGAACCCGAAAGTGAATGTTTTGATATGGTAATAATTCAACTGTTTCTGGAAACTTCATGGCTACAATGTTATATTGGCATCTAGCCTCTCTCTTTAGTGACCATGCTTCTTTTTATCTCAGTAACATTTTTATCTGTATTTTGTAAGGTCTGTATGGTCCACATAGTTCAAAGAAGCAAAAGACTGCCAAGCAATCAGTGGAGAATAATTTTGATAGTACTATTCCTTCTCCAGCCGCGTCTCAGATGAGCAATATGTCCAACCCCAACAAATTTATTAAATTTATTGGAGGTCGGGACAGGGGCAGAAAAATAAAAGGCTTGAAGGTATATACTCTGGTGGTTTGATCACTCCTTTACCATCTTGTTTGGTTTAAAATATGTCTTGAAATTAAAAACTTTATTTATGCAGATTTCTTCTGGCCAACAAGGATCTGAAAATCCATGGTCACTATTTGAGGATCAGGTTTTTGTCTGTTATCTCTGCTTAACACACATATATTAATCGTGGGTTGCGTTGTGAATATCTGAATTATTTTTTCCACCATTTAGGCGCTTGTTGTCCTGGTTCATGACATGGGCCCTAACTGGGAGTTCATTAGTGATGCTATGAACAGCACTATTAAAATTAAGGTAAGAGTGTGCTGTTCTGAAGTTTCTTGAGACGTTAAAGTACTGAATAATTTACTGAATACTGCGCGCTTCTATTCTTGTGAATGACTGCGCTTGATTCTGTTGCGCAAACTATTGCTTACTTTATTACTAGTAAGACAGTGGGCTGGGATATGTTGCTTCACCTATCCATGGTGCTAGAAATGTTGTTTGAGACTTGAATATTCTTTGATCCCCGTTCTTACTCATACAGTGTATATATCGTAATCCAAGTGAGTGCAAGGAGCGGCATAAGAATCTAATGGATAAAACTGGTGGTGATGGGGCTGATAGTGCTGAAGACTCAGGAAATTCTCAGTCTTATCCATCCAGTTTGCCTGGCATCCCGAAGGTTTCCATTTTCCATGAATTATTGAATTAAAGCTTCCCATGTGTTTAGTTTAACCCGTGGTTTTCCTGGAATTGTTTGTTATATGAAGGGAAGTGCGAGACAGTTGTTTCAACGTCTGCAAGGGCCAGTCGAAGAAGATACACTGAAGTCCCATTTTGAGAAGATTTGTTCGATTGGGAAGAAGTTCCAACATCGAAAGATACAGGTCCGTTCACCCACTTGTTAGTTGTTACCTCTTCCAAACTTGTTATAGAAAATTACTGCATCCCACCCCTATAGAATTATGTAAAACTTATTGTTTCTGAGAGTGCCGTCAGAGCTCTTTTGGTTTCTGGTACACTAAATTCAGATTGCAAGTATTTACCTTGGGGCTGCTAACTTGTTTTTGCCTATTTTGGACATCCGGCACATCTTCTTTGAGAAAGGCATCTATTGCTTGTGACATAACAGTCTGCATCTCTCCATTCATAGATGTATTTAGAACTGTGTACTAGAGTTTTTATGTTGAAACTCCAAAGGCCCTGATTCTGTTTCTCCTTGCTGCTTCTGTATGTTTGCTGCCGTTTCATCTACTTTCAAGAATGATGGTCGGGATCCCAAGCAGATAGTACCAGTTCACAATTCTCAAGTTATGGCTCTTTCTCATGTATTCCCAAATAATCTGAATGGAGGTGTCCTCACGTAAGTTTTTGGTGTTTCTTACGATTTATGTATCTCCTGATTACTTACCTTTTTCACAATTCTAATACCTTGCTACTCTCCGGATGAAGGCCCCTTGATCTCTGTGATGCCTCAACTTCAGGTCAAGATCTATTTTCGCTTGAACCAATGTTAAACCAGGGGACGTCAGTCCTTCCTGCATCTGAAGCAAATCCGTCAATACCTGGATCATCTGATGTAGTCCCTGGCAACAACTTGTCAACCATATCTGGCCCAACCAGTGCTTCGCCAAGGTCTTTATTTGTCTGGTTTGAATGCATGCATTTGCGCATCTCAGCTTAAATATCTTCTTTTGGTAGCTGATTGAAAAACTTTTCCTTTCTGGGATGCAGATTCAATCTTCCTAGAGGATCTTTGCCACTAGATGAACAACACCGAATCCAACAATTTAGTCAGATGTTATCCGGTAGAAACCTGCAGCAGCCTTCTTTATCAACTCCTGGAGCAGTCTCAGGACCCGATCTTGGGCATCGCCTACCTGGTGGAAATGCTATGAGTGGGAATGGAATCAATAGGAGCACACCATTGTCAAGGCCTGGTTTTCAAGGAGTGAGCTCATTGGCAGTGCCAAACAGTGGCAGCATGCTTTCCTCTGGCATGGGAGGAATTTCAAATACTGGAAATATTAACCCTGTAGGGAGTGCTTCTCCAGGAAACTCCACGTTGAGGCCTCGTGGAACTATGCAGCATATGATGCGGGTAAGCTATTTTTTCCCTTGATTTAGCTGATATGTCTGATGAATATATAGCTGGTTCCTTGTTTAAGTTTTGGATGTTCAGCGCTTCTGATATGCATGAGTTTCTGATGCAGGCTGTCAAAGGGAATGGTCAAGGGATTCCAGCTTTGAGTTCTGGATTTACCAACCAAACAACTCCTCCCGGTCAGGTCTACCCAGGTCATCTTTCCCATCAGCATCAGTTGTCGCAACAGTCACACGTTCTTGGCAACCCACATAAGACTCATCTCCAGAGTCCTAATCATGCAGCTGGGACACAACAGCAGGCATATGCTATCCGTCAAAGACAAATGCACCAGCGCTTTTTGCAGCAGCAGAAGCAGCAGCAACAGCAGTTTCCAGCATCTGGTACTATGCCGCCAAATGTACAATCACAGCTTCAAGTTCCTCCAGTATCTTCTTCTCCACAAAACAGTCCTCAAACACAACCACTTACGCCATCTCAGTCACTATCGATGCCTCTGTCGTCAACCTCTCCTAATATGACAGCAATTGTGCAGCAGCAGCTTCAAAAACCGCAGTTTCCGGTTCCTGGTCTGGGTAGGAATCCTCTGTCTACTACTTCTGGAGTAAACAATCAAGGTGGAAAACAGCGGCAACGACAACTCCAGCAGCAATCTGGAAGACAACATCCACAACAGCGGCAACCAACTCAAGGTCAGCAGCAGAATAAACTCTTGAAGGGAATGGGAGGAGGAAACATTATGCATCAGAGCTTCTCTGTTGATCCCTCGCAGTTGAATGGTTCTACTATGTCCCAGGGAATACAGGGTAGTGAGAAAGTAGAGGCAACAGTTCAACCTGTGCCTGGACAGCCGTCTAACCCAGTGACTGCCGTGAGCTTCTATTCACAGTCTAAACCTTTGAATCCTCCACAGTATTCAAGTACTTCCCAACAAAAGCCAAAAACATTTTCTGGTGCTCCATCTCCTTCGTCCCAACATCAACAGAGGCAATTACATTCAGATGATAGCATCCAAGGCGAGAAATCAGCAGAGGTATCAGGTAACATTTTGTCCACCTCTAGTCCGTCAGTTACACCAGCAGTCGCACAACCCAACCACCAACATTTGCTGCTACACCAAAAGCAGGTCAATCAAGTGCAGCCAACATCTCATAGAACCGTTCATCAAAATCATGACTCATCAAAGAAGTCTCAGGCTGAAGATTCCCCACGCAATCCAGAGTCTGTCACCAATACCACTCAATTGGCTAGTATGGGTGCAACAAAAGGTGTTCCTCAGGTGGGTATTAATTCGGTAAGCACGACTGCAGTTGCTTCTATTGCTGTCAGTTCTCTTCCAAAAGAATTGGACTTGCAATCGTGTGACTCCTCTGAGCAGACTGGTGTTGCTAGAGTAAGCAGTTCTATTACAAACTCAACTGGGAGCGATCCCGTAACAAAATTAGACCATTCGCCTGGTGGCTTGCCGGGTCATGGCCATAAGGGTGGGACAGAAAGACAACAGCAACAACAGTATCCACCTTTAGAAGAAAGACAACCACAGTTATCAGAACAGCTGCTTGTACAAAATCGAAAACACATTCCTTCTGAACAGCAGCAGCAGCCTTATCTAAAGACACTGGAACTGGAAACGGTCCATGAAAAGTTATCTTCGAGGCCTCCTGATACAAAGGTAGAATGAGAGCGAAAAGAGATGAACCTAGAAGCTCAAGCAGTGGTAGATCCTGCGAGGGTTATGATTCCTAACTGACAACACTGTACAGGTTCCAACTGGTGAAATTTCTCTTTGCCATATCATGCCCCCTTTAATCTTGCATCGACTACAGTGCTAACATATTGGTTAAGAGACACTAACTGAGACAAGTGCATGCTCAACTTTGCAGATGGAGTTAGGCAGGGCAGATGATGGTAGTAGGTGTGGATGATTCGTGCTCTGGTCTTGTTACCTCTTTTTCGATACTGTGAAGGTATCTGATGGGCCAACTATATATGCTCCAAATCCCAACCTTTTCATGCAACAGTAGTGAATCGCCTTCTTTGGAAGAGTAGAAACAGTTGTAGAGAGGTTAAATTGTGTACAGACACCCACTTTTTGTTTCCCCATTTCGTGGTGTATATATATTAGCCTTTTTTTATTACAGTATTATCTTAGTGTATTTTGATCCACCATCACTCATTGGTATTATTAATTAGATTAGCTTAATGTAACATATGTTCCTCTTTTACCTTCAGTAAAAAATTTGGGTTAATGAAAAGAAACAAAAGTTGCAACGTTTGTGTTGTATGCGACTAAAGTCTTTTAAGACTCTTGAGTTGTGTTTGTTACTATATTTGCATTTTTGAAACAATGTTCAGTGAGATAAGAGAATAACAATGATCTTCACACAACAGGCGACCAAGACCATACAAAAAATAAGAAACCAGGTCCATAATGTGTAACCCAACCTGTTTCACAATGTGACGGATCTCTACCACCTTGGTCCTGTTCCTGTGGTACTGTATTTCAAAGTAATAGACAAACAAGAAACCGGTTCTAGTCCAATTTATGCTAAAAGGAACAGAAGCAGCCAACAATTTATGTACAATCGCTGTTTTGTATCATCACCGCAAGGAGCATATTATTGATTTAGAACTCAAGAGAGATTGAATTTGAAAATGAAACTTTGTTTATTAAGATAATTATAGAAAGGGTACAGAACTAAAGAGCATAAAGATAAAATCACAAACTGACAAGCCTATTGCTTTCACCTAATCTTCCCCTTCTGCTTTCTCCTTTTCCTTCTCCTTCTTCATCTTAATCTTCAGCTTCATCATCATCTTCTTCTTCTGCTTCTGCTTCTTCTTCTTTTACATCTTCTTCTTCATCTTCTTCTTCTTTTACATCTTCTTCTTCATCTTCACTTGAGTAGTTTTGCATCACTAACATTAAGATCCTCTATGTGGTCTACAAAGGTGTAAACACTATGTTTACCATAATATTCTTCAAAACCTTGGATTTCAACACGTTGGAGCGTATTCCTTTCGGGATTGAAGTAGAACACATAAAACGGTTGTTTCGATTCATAATAGCCCATCGAAAAAATAATGTCACCCATAGTAGTCACTCCAACGACAACGATGGAAGAATATCCATCAATGAAGAATTTTTCATCCCTTAAAGTGTAGGTATTTTTCGACCATTCCTCTTTCTCAGCATCCTCAAGAACCCACACACGCAACTCAATAGCGTCAACATCATTCTCATCATCCCTATAAACCACACATAATTTACCCTTATAGTTTACCAATGTACAAAAGCTTTGTACGTATATAAACTTGAATTTCTCAGACCTAACATCAAAGCAAACTATCACACAGTCAGATGTTTCATCACAAGTGACATAACATTGATAATCACCCAAGTAATACAAAACCCCATTGATGCATATCCCTTCACTCAAAGGATCATGGGGTAAGGTACGTTTTATCGTCCTCCACCTCATTTTTCCAGTTCCTAATGTGAGAATTTTATGATGATCAGAACAAGCTGGATAAGCCATGAACAATACCTTGAATTGCTTGTCAATCGGATCAAACCCTAAAAAGCTAAACGACTTTCTGTACCTTAACAGATAAGGTAATTTCACATATTTTCCTGTGTTAGGGTTACATATCACAGGCACTCCATCGTAAATATCCTTCCCTTTGGTCCACATACCAAATAAATAGACCAAACCAGAGGCATAGCCACATGCAAATTGTCGGTCAATAGGAGAATAGATCCGCATATTGTCTGGAGGGAACTTGATATGAAATTCGGCGGCTACTACAAGAGACGAATCATATAGACTCTGACGCTGATGCGACGAGAAGAAACTCCACACACCATCTTCTTCGATGGCGAATACGATACGCGGCTTAGCGGATGACCTTGTCAGGAATAACTCGGTGAAATATGCACGACGAAGTATTGATGCCCATCGCTTCGACACGCAATGAAACCTCGCAATTGACTTTGCAGGCAATCTCAACAATATCTCCGTAATGAGATCAACCGGGATGGAATCTGAATTCATGATTGCTGATCAAACGGAGAGAAATATGTTAAAACTTGTATTAAGTAAGACCTAGAGAAACCGAGCTAATATATTAGTTACCAGTACCACTATATGCAATATATATATGGATAGCGGCGGAGGAAATAATTAAATGTACAAAATAGGGCACACAACTTTATTGCGAATTAACTAAAAAAAAAAGATTATTGTAAAGTTTATGAATTAGGTGACTTATTTATCTCAACTACGATCTCTTAGATTTTGAGATGTAAACTTTATAAAACAAACGTCACTCTTCTCTTTTTTTTTTTTTCGTTAGCTCAACTGTAAAGACTCTAGACGAAGCTTAAAGGTCGCCGGTTCGAGTGACGCTTAGAACAAAACTAATATTACATGCTGTGGTTTCGGGTGTAGGGGGATTACGGACTTTGGCCCATAACCTCCTGGTATTCAAAAAAAAAAAAAAAAAAACCCGTCACTCTTCTCGATACATAACTCCGAAGTTTCAGAGAATCACACCTCTCTTCAAACATTAGTTTTTACATATATACTCCTATCCTTTCTCAATATTAGAAGAGGAGTTTGGAAGTTTTTTCCTTTTGAACACTGACTCTATATATCACTCCTTTCTTCCTTGCTTTTTTTGGAGGCGTCGTCACGGAAGAAGCACCGGATTTTCCAGTGGAAACAACAATACAGGTTGCTTTTGTTTTCTTTTTATAACAACAAGGGATTGGCTTATCTTCCATCCTTGGTTTTGGCAGTTGATGTGAGCATTTATGGATCGATGCTCGGTATTTTGTACAATCCTATATATTTTTTTTTTTTTGATAGGAATGTGAATTTCATTAGAATGATGAGTTGAGGTTTTACAAAAGAAGAACCTACAGATGTAAACTTTGCCAAAAAAAAAGAAGATAAAAAACAAAGCAATACAAAGGTGGAGTTGAGTGTCAATCAACCCATTAGCGGATCCAAAGAACCATCAAATTCCTGTAGGCCTTTCGTGACCTTCTTGCGGTGATGGTATTCCTCACTTCCCTGTCAATAATCTTGAATATTACCGATGGCGGGACTGAGACATTGTTATGGAGCAAATTATTCCTCTGTTTCCATATGTGGTAGATAGCCGCCTGGGCAGCCAGTTTCCGAAGCAGTGGAGGAGAGGAATCAGTTTTTAATCTTGTCCAAGCAATAAGAGCAGTCCAAGAGTAGAAGATACAGTGGCTAAGTCGCAACCTCTCAAGGATGTAGTTCCAAATATGCACGCTGAAGTCACATCGCAAGAGAAGGTGCTCTCTAGTTTCATCGTATTCATTGCAAAATCCACAAGTTGTGACAATGGGGAATCCCCATGAAGCAAGTCTAGACTTTGTAGGGAGCCTGTCGAGGTGGGAGACCCACATGTTGAAAGCATTCTTTGGGATGGCCCCTTTGAACCAAACTGAAGAAGACCAATCCGCGATGCTCTTCCTTGGTCTAATTGCTTCCCACGTTGGTGCTGCTATGAAGGAAGGGTAGCTGCGGCCATCAATATCCCAACGATACAATCCTATATATCGAATACATAAATTTCACAGGGACTTGCTTGTAGTCCATACGTCTTTTGTATGTTGTGACATAAATATTTTTGTATGTTAGATAAGGATACACCATATTTTTCTCATACACAATTGATCATGATAAGGATACACCACATTTTTCTTCATTTCATATTTTTATTTCATTGCCACAAAGCTATCCTGCAGGTATATGATGCAACAGCCCTACTAGCTTGGTTGCTACGTAATGATCAAATTGACATGTAATTAGTCGTTACTGTATTAGATAAGAGAATAACAATAGTCTTTAAAGTGATGGCTTGAAACTTTTCAATGCCATTACACTTGATTGTACATGTTCGTACAAAATAAGCAAAGTCCTGAAACAATCTGGGATGTTAAAGTTGGTGGGAATTAGAACTGAAGAGAGATTGAATTTTAAAAATAAAACTTGATTTATTACAATTATTATAAAATAGGTACATACAAGCACAAATTGAAATGCCCATAGCTTTTACCCAACTCCAATGATTGTCTCTATCTTCTTCTCCTTCTAATTATTCTTCATCTTTCTCTTCTTCTTTTGTCTTCACATATGGAGCATAGATGCTTGAATTGAGTAGCTTTGAATCGTTAACATTAAGATCTTCTACGTGGTCTACAAAGGTGTAAACCTTGTGTCGTAAATGATCATAGTCACATTCTTCAAGACCTCGGATTTCAACACGTTGGATAGTGTTATTTTTGGGATTGAAGTAGAACACATAAAACGGCTGGTCAGATGTATAATAGCCCATCGATAAAATAATTTCACCCATACTAGTCACTCCAACGACAACAACATGAGCATATTTGTCGTCATCAACGAAGAATTTATCATCCCACAAAGTGTAAGCATATTTTGACCATTCATGTTTCTCAGCATCCTCTAGAATCCACATATACAATTCAATGGCGTCTACATGATCTCTCCAACCAAAGTGATTATCCTCCCAATAAATCACACATAATTTACCCTTATAGTTTATCAATTTACAAAGGCTTTGTAGACCATAGATAAACTTGAATTTCTCAGACCTAACGTCAAAGCAAACTAGCACATAATCCAATGATTCAAAATCCACCACATCAGACCTAGCATAGTTTTGATAATCACCTAAGTAATACAAAACACCATTAATGCATATCCCTTCACTCACAGGATCATGAGGTAAGGGACATTTGATCGTCCTCCACCTCATTTTCCCAGTCCCTAATGTCACAATTTTATGATCACAACAACAACCTTGATCATAAGGCTTCCATACCTCCTTTCCATTCCCTAATGTCACAATTTTATGATTGCCACCACAACCTTGATGAGGCTTCAATACCTTATATTGCTTGTCGATCGGATCAAACCCGAAAAAGCTAAACGCTTTTTCAAAACTTTCTACACCCCTTTCTAGAGAAGGCAATATTGCATATTGACCTGTATTAGGGTTACATATCACAGGCCCTTCATCGTAATCATCTTTTAAATTGATCCACATACTATAGAAATAGATCAAACCAGAGGCATAGCCACATGAAAAATGTTGGTCTCTACTAGAATCAATCTGCATATTGGGATCTGTAGGGAAATCCATATGAAATTTGGCGGTTACTACAAGAGACGATGACGACTCATCATATGGACTCATTAGAGTCTGAGGCAACGAGAATAAGCTCCACCAACCGTTACACCAACCGTCTCCTTCGATAGCAAATAAGATACGCGGCTTAGCCGATGACCTTGTCAAGAACAACTCGGTAAAGTATGGACGACG